GAATGGGGTGAGGGAAGGGCAATTCACAACAGACTCTGGTGGACACACACCTTGCTAGTCACTTTCTATTGTTTAACTCACAATTCCAAAACAACTTACTATTACTACAAGTCCAAGCTCAGTAGGGCAAGAGTTCGGAATATACAAACAAAATGCTTACCTCACACATATAATGTATGATATATGTGCAATATTATTTTTTCTAAAATCTACTGAAGTCTTCCCATCAGGAGTGATAAATTAGAAAAATCTTGATTCACATCACATTGATTGGCATACAGGAGTGGATCCCATTGTGTAGCGATATGCAGTTCATCAATTAGCATGAGTGTCAGCGATTGAATCTGTACACTGGCTATGTAGCGTTGTTTCAGAAGCCAGCCTTACATTAGTCAAGAAATCCAGAAAGAATAGGCAATGGAATTATGCTGATTTTTAAATATAATTTTCCAGTAGTTTAAAAAGAATAAGTTTTTCATTTAAAAAGCCAGCAGGATCAGCAGGCAACTAAGTTCTGTTTTAGTTGGAAATCAGTGGGTGGGAATATAAAGCCACTTCTTTTTTCTTAAATGGAACTGGAGAAGGAGCAGATCTAACAAGTTGTAATCAGCCAAATTTCCTTTTGTTTTTTCATAAATATGTGAGTAAAGAGTTGAAGTTTTCTTTTTTCATTATGTATTTTTTAATCCAATATAGCAGTAACAAATCACCTTTGCTAATCTCAGTTCCTTTTTGCTGTACAAAACCTTTCTTTGAGGGAGATTTTTTTTGAAAAAAGAACTCTAAAACCCCAAAGAATCTACAGAAAATCCTAGGCTGAAGAGCCCAAACTATCCCAGGACCATTTGCATGAGAAAGTCAGGGAGTGGGACCATGAAGCAAGGCTCACCTGGCCCGGAGCTCAGCACCCTGGGGTGGGGTTGGGCAGCTCAGGGCTGCCAGCCACTACCTGGACTGAAGCTGGGAGAGCTGTCAGGGTGGATTAATCCAGAGGTGAGGTACAACCAGGGATGAGTAAAGGAGCTCAGGTGAGGGCAGGGGAACAGTGTCACCCTGGAAAGGTCAGAGTCAGATAAGCCTCTGCCCAACAGCGGTCATGAGCCTGGCCCTGCTGCCTCGACCTCCCTTGTCCAGCTTCTTCATCTACAGAGTGGGGCTCACCATGTCTGCACAGTGGCTGCATGAAGAGTAAGTGACAAAAATGCACACAGAGGGCTTGAGCTCACTCTCAAGACACTCATAAAAATGTCCCTTATGGGGTCCAAGAGCAATGGCAAGTATAAAATCGTTTTGTGAGCCAACAGCTCAGGATCCAGCTGAATGCCCAGACAGGGCAGGGCATCTCTAGAGGGTCCAAGACTGTGTCAGGGATGCCCCAAGAGTGTTTGTGGAGGGGTGGCTGCCCAGCCTGCCTTTATGGGCAGATTTGAGACATCACAAATCATTTCTTTTATGCCACAGATCACTTCCTCAACAGCATGTATGTGTGTGTGTGTGTGTGTGTGTGTGTGTGTGTGTAAGTGATGTAAGTGCATGTACATGTGGGGGCGGCAAGGGAACAAGGGGAGCAAATCCTATGCACAATGGGTTTGCTAAGATAGTGTGCAGTAGAAACCCGAAAGTGAACCCTTCGTGAGGAAAGAATCTTTTGGTCCAGTGACTACTCAGCAAGTACTTTTTCTGTTGTCAACTTTTTACTGTTGCATCCAGCTTTACTACAGGGCAGTATGAAGGGTGAGCACACTTGTGCAGAATATCAAGATGAAAATTCTGGCTTTCCAGCTTACATAGGCAGGCGACCTCCCCACTCCGGGCCTTGGTTCCCTCATTTTCAGAGAGGGATTAGGGCGGCCCCTACCTCACTGTGTTCTAATGTTATCCAGCTAGCACACCCACAGCAATCCTTGGCATGAACATTGGCCAGTGTATTCTATTGCATTTAATCTCATCCATCCACGCCCTCATGCTAGGAATCTTGGGGCCAGCCTTGACCTCCCCATTTCAACTGCCTTTCATTAAATCATCACCAGGTCCTACAGATTCCACAAGCAGAATAGGCTGGAGAAAATGTTTCTCCTCCTCCTCCTCCTCCTCCTCTCAGTGCCCTGCTCTGTTCAGGTGGTCACTGCTGCATGCTGCACTTGTGCTGGCTGCCCACAGTCCACCACACACCCTTTCCCACTCACCAACTGTAGGGAACCCCAAAAGCCATCCAAGCTGCAGTGTCCGCCTGCTGGGGCTCATCCTGTTCTGGCTGCATTTGGCCATTACTTTGTCTCAGTGCCCCTCCCAGATACACAGGCTTCTCACTCTCTAAAGAGCCCACACTCTTTCTGATCACAATTTGCTTCTTTATTTTAAAAGATGAGATCATCTTCACATCTACTGCAGCAACCATTCTGTGGGCATCTTTTCTAGTTCCATACCTCAGTGCCCCTCGCTAAGTCCTCTATGTAGCGCGTGTGTAATGAATCCATGTTAAGTGAGAAAGGAGAAAATCCAGGCCACTCTGGCAAGGAAAATAGTGTGAATTTCAACAGTCCCTAAATCCAAAGTTTCCAAGACACTCCCAAGGGAAACAAGTGCCCCACTCCCTGAGCTGTCTATAATTAGACTACAACGCATGGGTTCAGAGCGTGTCAAAGAGCAATCTCTTTGTGAGCAGGAGCTCTCTTGTCCTTAAGGTACTTTCTGTGTCACTCTAATCTTATATTCTAAGATCTTAGATACATTTCTGTCACACGTAGGCAACCCTTGACTCCCTTCACTGTGGGCGGACAATAGCGACTTGAGCGATGAGGAAAACCCACAATTAGATATGCTCGGCTGGGTGACAATTCTGTTGTATGCAGCGTGATGCACAGGCTCCTCTGGAGCACCTAATGTACACAGAGCACCCAGCTATGACATAAGAAGGGGACGGGCAGAGCCAAATGCATCTTTTATTCCGCTTGACCAGATTGTAAGGTGCTAATGGGTGGATGTGGAAATGCCACTGAAAAGGCAAATTAACGTGATTAACTCAGACTTGGAGGCCAAACTGAAGAGACAGTTCCACCAGTGACAAGGGGCCCAAGCCAGATCCCCAGATAAGACGAATACACAGGGGCAGCTCTGGAGGGTACCCGCGGTGACCCAGAGCAGCTCTATGGGGAAGATGGTCTTTTTGCTTACCCACTTCCTCTTTCACCCTGCAGAACAAATTGAGGTGCATGTGGAGCTATATCACAGTTCTGCCACTTTTAAGTGATACCACAGGGCTGATGTATGTACAAGTGTTTTGTAATCCGTAAAGTCTTATGCACTAGGACTTACTGTTTGTTACTACCATTATTATTATTATTATTACCAGAGTTCAGGGCCACACATAGCTATGACCCATCTCCTCCAGTTCTCTCATCTACATATTTACCTATGCTCTATACCTAAATGTTGCAAGTGAGGATGTGAGGCAATTTATAATAAATATAATAACAGCAGGGCTGGGGATTTAGCTCAGTGGTGCCGCCTCCTGCCCCGCAAGCACAAGGACCCAAGTTCGATCCCCAGTACCCAAAAAAAAAAAACCAAAAAGCAAAAACAAAAGAATAACAGCATGTTAGGAAACTAAAACGAAACTGAAAATAGGAACAGATAAAAGGGAGAGGGGAATCTTTCCCTGATGCTAAACTCAGTCAGTACTATTTCTCCAGGTTGCACACACGGAGGTAAAGTTTAGAGCCCAGGAGGAGCTGATGCTGGCTGGGATGGGGCTGGGGGCTGGGAAAGCTGGCTGGGGAGTGGACAGCTCAGGCAGGTCCAGACTGTGACCAGAAGTGGGTAGGAGGGGACAGGAACCTTGTGCGCTGACCCCAGCCATGACAGATGAGCTGGTTGAGAGTAGGAAGGAGCCACCCTGGAGCTGTCACTGCAGCCCTTGCCGTCTCTGGCACACGTGGGTGTCCCGTAAATGTTTGTCCAGTGGGAAAAGCCAAGGACAATACAAATAAATCTGTCAGGAAAATCAAACCCAAAGAAGTTAGCCCAGAAATTCAGAAACCAAACATCCTGCTCCTTAAGCTGAAGCTCTTTCTGTCTTTTCCTCGGCTGCAATCTTTGCCAAATGGTGCTGAGCAATAAGACTCTTTCGAGAATATTCTAGCATCTTCATGATGACCCATAGCAGTTAGTGAGACAGGACTCCCTCCCAAGGACACAAGTCCAAACCGACCTTTTGAAGAAGAGAAACTGAGTAAATGCCAGAGCACTCTGTGGCTAAATGGACATGGATTCTTAGTAACTGAATCTGGTCACTTATTTTCCACAACTTGATGGTGAGTCAGACCCATCCTGAGGTGACAGAGCTATGTGATAGTAGCAAAGAGTTTAGAACCTGGTTACAGCTTACTTAATCCAGTAGGAAACTATTTCTGTTGAGCACTAGGCAGTGTAGACTCCAGGATCCGGAGACCAATAAATCTTTTCTTCTCCTTCCAAGCCTCTCAGCCCTTCCTGCCCACCACCCTTCCCATGCCGCTCTGGAACCCTCAGCCTCTTTGCTCTGTCCTACAACTCTCTAGCCCTGCCTTCCTCTTTCTTTCCCTCTTATTTCCCACTCATCCAGGATGTGTGCTTTATTCTCTTCACTTTGAACGTCAGTCACATTTGTCAGTCTACAAATGGGTCATTTTCCATCAATTCCACTCCTTTCTAGGAAATTACATTCAATCCAATTGCTTCTGCATCTTTTCAGCCCTGGAAAGAAAATCTCTCACTGTGTCTTTCCCATCTAAGTTCTTACCCACCTATTTTTTCTCTTTGCTCAGTAAGTTGGGTGTTGGTTGTGGTAAGCAGAATAATGGTTCCTGCTGTGATTTGGGTGTGGCTTTGCCTGTCTCCCAAGGATTCATGTGTCAGAGTCTCAGTCTTAGTGTGGTGACATTGAGGGGTGGTGAGACCTTTGTGATGTGGGACCTCTCATGAGGTCACTGGGGGCCCTGCACTTAGGAGGGATTGAGGGAGCTGTCCTGGAACCTCAAGTAGGTCCTCTCAAGACAGAGCTGAGTCTCTGAGTTGTTCTTTGGTTTCCTGCCTCGAGATGTGATCTCTCTCTTCCAGCCATTGTTGATTGTTGACCAGGAGGTCTTCACTGAGCCAGGCCAGTTGGAGCAAGAGGTCCTTGAGCCTCCAGAAGTGTGACTTTAATAAGCTTCAGGTATTTTATTGTGGCCCCAGAAAGCAGACCATTGCAGTTCCCTAAAGATATTTATGTTAGAATTCCCAGAACCTATGAATGGGTTAGGTTGCATAGCAACAGGAAATTTAGGTTGCAGCTGGAATTAAGGTTGGTAATCAGTTATCCCTAATGTAGGAAGATTATCTTGGATTAACATTGTTAATCAAGTGTCATCACAAAAGTAAAAGGGGAAAGTGGCAGAAGAGATGATGGTCATGGATTAGGGGGAGGACTCAGCCTAAGGTGGAAGGAGTGGTCCATACCAAGAAATGCAGGCAATCTCCCAAAAGGAGAAAACGTAAGAAAATGGATTATTCCTAGCATTTCCAAGAAGGGTCACAGCCCTGCCAACATCTTCCTTTTCACTCAGCGAAAGCAAAACACACATGTTGGACATCTAGTCTAGAAAACTATAAAATAATAGACTTCTGTGGTTTGAAGCAACTAAATTTGTGTAATTTGTTACAAAAGCAGTAGGAAACTCATACATTAACTCTCCTGGTTTTATGCTCTATGGCTCTCCTTTTTCTTTTATTCCATTGTTTTAGAATAGCTGAGTAGAAGTTGTCTTGGACTTTATCTTCCACCATTTCTGTTCAGCTATTGTCTTTGGTTACTTTAACATTCAATTTTTGATAATTTTCTTTCTGTTTCACTGAAGCAGTCTTTTCTTGTTTTATTAATACCATATCATTTCAAAGAACTCCAAGAACTAGGTGGTTGCCTTTGGATTGTTTTCTGCTGTATTTCCATGCTCTACATACTCATCATGACCTCTTTCTTTTGTGATGCTGGTTTATTTCAGACATTTGGTGATGTTTGGGTAGCTCTCTGTGTTCCAGCATGGAGATCGGGGTTTATTCTTCTGGCTGACTAGAAGTGCCCCCAGGAGACTCAGACTGTCCCCCTGTCATCTTTGCTCTGCTGCCAGTGTCTGAATCTTGGCCTGGTCCCTCCTTCTCACATTCTCAAGGGATGAAACCTAATCTCTAATACAATTCAGGGGTGAGGGCTTTGGGAGGTGAGTAGGTCGTGAAGTCTCTGCCCTCGGAAATAAGATTAATGCCCTTGTAAAATGGGCCCAAGGGGGTCTGTTTGCACTTCCACACTGCAAGAACTCAGCAAGAAGTGCTTCCTCTGAAGCACAGAGCAATCCCTCACCAGACACCAGCTCTGCCAGTGACTTGATGTTGGGCTTCTCTGACCTGTGAGCAGCACATTTCCACTGTCTACAAACTGTCCTGTCCGTACTCTTTTGCTAGACAGCTCAAATGGACTAAGATTTCTGCCCAGTGGGAGGCTGTTGGCTACTGTTATATACAGTGCCAGGGGAGAAAAGGGGACAAGAGGAGCTGAGCCCTCTCACTGCCCTTCATGTACCCTGGAAACATCAGTGGCTCAGATTCTGCAGAGCTTCGTGGAGAAAGTGGAATGTTGGCATTGACAGTATCTTGGAACCTTAGCTTTGAATAAGAGTATGGAGAAGAGAAAAGGCAACTTTCTTCATTACAATTAAGACAGCTGAGGTGATAAGAGGCCTCTCTCCTTCATGGAGGGCTTGAGAGTGAGACACACAGGAGGTCGGCAACCTTGGCGAGAGAAAAGGAAGGCCTGGCAACTTCCTCAATTAAGGACAGCGGCATCTACCTAAGACTATGGACTGTCCTGCCAGCCCTGCCCCAGAGCCTGGCACAGAGTTGCTGCACACTGGTGTATCAGAATCAATAATTCCAGTGGTGAAAGTAACCATTATTCAGTGTACAAACATAGTATTTTGATTAATTAATTTTGTTTAATTACAGGTGCACATCGGCACCACTTTCTAGATGTCACCTAGGCTCCACAACACCTTCCCTGTCAGGCTGCTGTAAGGACAGAATCTTGGCTAGAGCACCTACCTCAGCATTTGGCATTTACGGGTTAGGTGGTTAGGACTCATTTCTGTAAAGTCCCAAGGAAAACCTTCCTAGATAAAGTTACAGAGAGGAATCAAGACCCAAAAGAGACTGTCCGATTCAGGTGCCTGGAGAATGTAGTCAGGGAAGCAACCTCCCACACATGTATACACAGAGTTGTTCTAACAGATCTGCTTCTCTCATTTCCACCTGAGTGTTTGAGTCCGGGAAATGGGGGCCCAGGAGGACCCATCCTGTTGCAATTAGAGAGAGCAGAGGCAAAGGCTTCCCCAGCCCCGTGTGCCCCTGCTGGCCAACAGCTGGAACCTCAGCTGACGGAGGAGGAAGGGAGCTCCTAAGTCATCCATTTAGCTTTGCAGAGTTCTCAGGAAAGGGAGCTGGCCAGGACAAGAGTATTTTCTGAGCAGCTACTAGCCCCACAGCAAAACCTGAAGGCTGTATCCTGCGCCTCTGCAGCACATGGCGACAGACTGCAGAAGTTCTAGGAGGCAGAGCTCTGGGTTTCATTTAGCATTTAATTAACTGGAATACACGGAGAACTTCATGGCAGCACCCTGATTGCAATCTGTGGATGGATGGGCATTTTTATCTGAAAATGATGACCAGCTTATCTTCCGTCGTGCAGCGATCACACATGATATGTATCTCTCGTTATCCTGGCCAATCAAACACAGAAAGTTTATTAAGATTCTATCATTCGAAGTTATCAACAGCGATGGGATTTTTCATCTGAATGTGCTTGTGTGCAATACCGTATTTTGTCTAAGAAACCCTCAGGGAGACAGAGGGAGGGAAGGTTATCATCAGGACTGCCCTGAATCTACCATCAATGACCGAGCAATTTAAAGGGGGTGGCCATCCAGATTACCTAAATAGAAGTTTATAGATCCCGTTTTCTAAAAAATGGAATTGATGTGGCTACAGGAAAACATAAAAGAGGAAGAAATCAGTGCAATACTGTAGTAGTAAGAAGCAGTGGAGGAGAAAAAAAACTATTGCTTGGGTGAGTAACTGGAAATGTAAGCCACATGGTTTCATACTTTCCTAAAAGTGGACTCTAAGCTTCCTAGGAACCATAGAAAATGTGATCAACTCTGAAATGTGTGTGGGATGCACAAAATAACTACCACTTATTACTTAGGAGAAGTCAGATTTTATTTAGATTTTAGACAGGGAGTTTGGATAAAAGAATCCACTTATTTAAACACTCAAATTTTAATTGATAAAATCAGCAAATGTTTCTCAAATTTTATTTATGCAGGCCACAATATTGGTGCTGGGTCTTCAATGTGGAATCAGACTCGGCTGCCCTCTTGGGGTGGACAAACCACTTGATATGACCAACAGCCAATGAGGCCACCACAGAATGTGGGAATGACCATTCAGAGGCGACTCAGGAGTAAGGCTCATCTCTCTAGCTTTGTGCAGTCAAGGACATTCCTCTGAGCAAGACAGAGCTTTACAAGACAGACATGCGTGGAGGAAATGAGGAGGAAGGCATATGGGAAAGCTCCAAGATGAGAAAAGATTGTATATCATGACTGACAGGCAAATAGGGGATAATCGGCCTCATCCTCCCTCTCCCTCCCCAGGCTGAGAACCCCTTGAGACCACTTCTGACTTTGCTCTTCAATGCCACCCTGCCAGGTTCTCATGGAAAGAAGGAAAGAAACAAAAGAGGCACTAAGGAAAGCTGTGGCAATCTTGGATGTAGCAGATGTTATTGGTATTTAGACAACCGAGGTGACCTGCGTGTCTTAATATTTCATCTAAGTCACCTGAGCAGCGCTGTCCTTCTAAGGCCTCAGAGAACCACATGGAAGACTTCTGTGAGACTGCTCAGACCTCTGGGGTTTAGCAAACCATTGCACACCCTTGATCCTAGTTGATGTCCACAACTAGGAAAAAGCAGCCTTCGTTCCGGACGGAAGGCTGGAGGTAAGTCTGGGGTGATTCTACTCCAGGTCCTGCCCCATACAGAGTTCTTGGGGTGACTGTGTCAGCCCCCCCACTTATGCTGTAAGCTCTCTGAGCCTGGGATGGCAACTGCGCTCTTTGTAGCGAAGTCCAGAGTCCTTGGGTGGAATCAGAGCTATCCCGCTTGGGAGCTGTATTTGTGTGAGCCTTGGGCAAATAATTAAACCTCCCTGTGTCTCAAGTCCTTCCTCTGTCAAACGCCAAAACAAGTTATTATTGTTTCAAAGCCCAGTTTTAAATCACCTAGTAGCCCCAAACCAAGATGGAGGCCCTCGCTTTCCTCCTTTCCTTCGATCACCCTCTCGCCCTCTTGGAGAGTGTTCCCACTAAGTTGGAAGCAGTCCTGGAGGGCCCTGCCCTTCCCACTTCCAATCCTTTCTCCCCACTCCTAGAACGTAAACATCCCTGAGCTTCCTGGGGACTCTCCGTTCTCTCCATCATCAGCTTGAACGTCTGTCCAGGGCCCTGGCGATCGCATCCTTCTCCACCACCCTCTCTAACGTCTCAAGTCTTTACCCAGTTTGGGACTCACCCACCTAACTTCCCCCTTCCCTTTCCAGAGCCGGGGGCCCCTTTGAGAGTCTGGCTCTGCCTCAAGCCCCATAACTCCTCACTATTACCTCGGAACTTCTGACAGCAGCCCCTCCTCCGGACTCATTAACTCTGCTTCCTGTTAATTCATTAGCACCGGGAGGCCCGGCGATGATCTTTCTCCTGCTCCCGCAGCCGCTACCCTTACAAATTTCATTTCTGAGATTCCTCTCACATCCCGTTTATTGTGACATCATTTATGAAGTTCTCCCTCGACAGGAGAGCAGTCAAAAATAACTATATATCATTTTAAATTGCTCTGGTTGGTAACTCTACATTTTAAGAATATCAAGGCGAAAAAGTGTCTGATGACAAGGCGCCACGTGGCTAAGGAGCTGACAGAGTAATAGCATCCCCAGATGCCGTTGTACACCAGTTAGCTGCTTCTCGGGCCTATTTGAAGCAACGGGTGTCAGGTCAGTAATTAGACTCTTGCAGACAAACTGGAAGTGCCACCTGATCTCTTATGAACACGGCCATCACTCCCATGAATGCCAAGTTCAATATGAAACACACCATCGCCATCCTCTCCCAGCTCTGCTGCCAGAATTTCCCAGGGACATCTCCCGCCTTGCTCCCACGCAAGTTAATGAAGTCAGTCCTTCCCCCGCATGTCAAAGAGCCTGCTCCCAGGATGGCAGCACACTGGTGCCGTCGAAAGCGACAACACCCAACGGCAGCCTCCGCTCTGCTGTTTGATTCTCCTCTTTGCAGGGGAGCCTGCCTGACACATTCACACTCTGGGCTGCTTTGTGCTCATTTCTTTGTTCGATTTCCAAGGGTGGTTGGCTCCTTGGAATAGTGCAAAGGGCACAAGAGCCTGGGGGCTGGCTTCAAGCCCCACAGGTGACATTAACACCTGACACCAGGTAGATGTGTTCCCGATCATCCGCCTAGACCAGGGGTTTGAGGAAGATAGGGGATGTGGGCTCAGACACCCTCGTGGCATGCAGGGAACGTACCTGTCCCTTTCTCAGGGCCAGAGTCACAGGGACAGCAGTGGGAGGTCATGGTCTTGGTGAGCCATCTCTGGGACAAGAGGATGGTGAGCTCCCACCTGAAGGAGGAAAGTGATCAGCTGGTTACAGAGTCTTCAGGGCCAGGACTCCATACTAGGACAAGAGAAGCCAGGGAGAGGCTGGGCACCTGCCAGTTTGCCTATTCAAGCTGCACCTCCCTTCTTTCTCATAATGAGCATCTGGTTTTCTTCTAGGAAGATTCTCTCTCCTTCAAGAGAGGCTTCTGGTGAGTCTGAGGCCCCAGCTCCCACACTCCTGAGCTGGGTGTGGTCCTTGCCTGGTCCTGCAGAGAAAGCATGAAAATTATCAATGGAAGAGGCTGGCTTTCTGGTGACACAGCAGAGCTCATTTCAGCAGCTAGATGAAGCCAGAGGGTAGCTGGGGAAAGACAGCCCCTGAAAATAAAGCCAAGGCAGATGCAAGGCAGGGAAAGATGCATCCCGAAGTAGCGCTGGCCGTCCCAGGGGTGGGATGTGGCAGCTTCAGCCAGCCTCCTTCACTGACAGTGGAGCACCCCACAGATACTCAGTCCTGGTCCTGGTCAGGCCCATCAGAAAGGTTTCCAAAATCTGTAGTCAAGGCCAAAAATGAGTGTGGGCCCCATAGCAAAGAAGAAGCAAGGTGACCCAGACTACAGCTTCAAACGAGGAGCTGGGGATTCGATCCTGTGTCCCAAAGTGTCACGGTCTGTGAAAGTCTCCCACACAGGCAGGCTGTGTAGATGTAGATGGGTGTCCCTCCTGTTTGCAGGCAGGCACTGACTCCACGTGCACACTGTGACAGCTGACGCGGGGACTATGGAGAGGCCACTTCCTTCATTCGACCCTGGCTCTTCTCCACCTATAAAATGAAGCGGTAGAACCATTTGGACCATTGCCTCTGTGTGTGTGTGTGTGTGTGTGTGTGTGTGTGTGTGTGTGTGTGTGTGTTACTGGAGAGTGGACCTAGGGCCTTCACACTAGCTACATCCCCAGCGTCATCCCCTTCTTTTGAGCTAGCATCTCACTAAGTTGCTGGGGCTGGGCTTGAACTTGTAATCTTCCTGCCTTAGCCTCTCAGAGTACCCACTTGTTCTTCAGAAACTCTCCTAGCCCCTAAAAACTAGTTTCTCCCCACCCCACCCAGTCCCACTGTACAGAAGATAGCCCAGGATCTCCAAGGCCTCAGAAGGGTTTCCTGGGACCACAGTAAAAGTATTTGAGAGCAAGGAGTCTGGCTCTATTTCCATTCTTGGGATCTTCCAGCTTTCTCTCATCTTGCAGTTTTTCTGCCACACAACTGTCAGAAAAAGGTTTCTAAAACACCAGTGAGACTTCATGGTGTCTTTGGCTTAGGTTCTCAATGCTACCAAATAAATTGAGTCCTACAGAGAACCAATGCTTAGCCAAAAATAATACTGTATTTGTAGGATACAAAGTCAGATGACCCTATCTGCTGAAAACTTGGAACTTTATGGAGCTCTCATCATAATGCCTTTTTATAGTCTTTAAAACAAATGTATACTTGGCATCTATAAATGATACATAATATGACTTCTTGTGGTGTGAATTTTATTACCCTATTTTTATTTAATGTTTCTATAAAATCAGTGGAGAAGTAAAGAAGCAGAAAGACAGGCTGTGTATGTGTGAGGAGATGCATCTACACACAGGTGATGTCTCCTTTTTATAGTAAAACATCAGTGACTCGATTTCATCCCACACTGAATATGCTCTGCTGGCTCAAGTCATTCACAGTCACAAGAGAGAGAAGCTGGTCAACTTTCCTAGGCCATTGGAAAGTCGAGTCAAGCCTTGATGTGGCAAAGCGGCCTCTTGATGTCTGTAATGGCCACGAGCTTGTCCCCTAAAAGGCCCTGCACCTCGAGGGAAGCCCCGAGTGGAGCAGCCTCAGCCCATGGTCAGGGTCACCAGGAAGACGGGTCCTCTCTCCTACCACTCTTTAATCATGACATCTTTCAAAGAGTGTTCTATAAACATCAGCTTTCTCATAATTTGCAATGGTTTTATGATTTAGTGTTGTATAAACACCAGCTTTTCATGTCTCCTGCCGGAAACATTTTCTGGGCAGTTCAGTCTGTGCCAAGCTCAGAGTGCAGAGAGAAGCTTTGTAAGGAAGATGGAAACTCCAAACATGCCTGCCAGAGACACAAGCACGGGGACAATTTCCACAGGGTGTGGCAAACACGGGAACTGAGGACCATGGGAGCTCAGGTTGAAAACACAATTTCAGAATGGGAAAGTAGACTGGTGAAAGAGTGAGGAAACTGAGTTTTTGGAAATGGCCAAATGCAACTTGCTATGTTGAATTTATGCAGATTTTCTCAACTGCTATCTCATTAGTTTGCATGACTGAGGCTATTCATCACCTATGCGAAGATTTCTGATGGTTGTGTGGAAACAGTCACTCTAGTCTTGTTTCAAAAAGACAAAAACTTTTAAAAATCAGTTTCAGCAAACACAAAAGATGAAAGGGCTGTCTGACAGCATTACTGACCACACCAGCAGGACCAGGAGTGAAGCAGAGACATTGGCAGAGAGCTGCCCTTTGGAGGGTGGAGATAAATACATAGCAAGCTTGGGGAGGGTATGCACCTGCTTCCCCAGAGGGCCATCCCCAAGGCCAGAGCCAGACACAGCAAGAGGAGGGGCACAGTCAGGAGAGGTGCTGCGAGGAAGGAGGGAATTCACAGACCAAAAGGATATCTGAATTTCCAGTGTGGTCTTTCTCTTTGTCTTATGTATGATTTCTGTGATTTAAAAGATGTTGTGATCAAATTTACAAGGTTTTGAAGCTGGTTCTGGCATAGAACATGTTCACTCGGATAAACCAAATCCTTACGCCAGTACAGCACCAATACCTGTACCCCCAAAAGCCTCTCTTTTAACCCAAGAACCTCTTACCAATTCCTGTTAAAAACTGATTCAGAATAGATTCTGATAACAAGTGATCCAGGGAGGAGAAGGGAACTAACTGATGGAAAAAGAGACCACCTGGGGTTATTAAAATAGACACTGAGAAAGCAACGCAATGGACAGGGCAGGAAGACCAGAAAAAATACTAGGGTTTGCTGGAATTTCAACTAAGGGAAATTGTATTTTTAGATCTAACATTAACATATACAGAAAAAAGGTGGGCCAGTAAGGAGTTGAGCTCAGCTGCCTTGGAATGCAAGCTCAGTGATTTACCATCCTGTCCCCTCAAATGCTCCTTTTTTTCATTCCTGCTTGGTAAGATGAGGTTGACAGGCCTCACCAGAGATGGTTGTTATTTGGATTACAGCTGAAATAACCCAGGACCTGGCCAGGTGCCTGGACTGCTGCAGGCATTTGATCTGCTACAGTCAGTCTCATCTTTGCTGTGCTGAAGCTTCTTTGCCAAAATTTATTTGGGCAACAAATCAATACTGATCTTCTAATCCCTTGGCTTCAGGACCAAATTCCTAAGTTTCAATCGTCATCTCTTTTATCAATTAAAATGGAGATACAGAGGCCTTGGATTATCACCGTCCTTGATCTGAAACTTGCAGGAATTGCTCACTTGGAGGTGACAAAGAAAAGGAAACTCTACTACCAACTTCTCAAACCACACAGACTGTCTCTGTCATGTTCGGTCTTTCAGCAGGGAAGCCAATGCTTCTGTAAGATTCAATGGTTCTGCACACAATATAGGAGAGGTGAGCAATGCCTTTGCAGAAATCCCATGTAAGAATGCAGAGTGTCTGCAGAAGTGTGGGCTGTGGGGCTCATTGAGTCACCGTCTCTGAGTCCATAACTAGGCAGGAAGGCCAGGTGGAGCTCAGGAGGGAGAAAAGGCAAGGAATTGAAGGTGGTAGCAAAGAGGGCCTGAGGCCTTGCCCTTGACCACAGAAACATCTCAAGTGTCAAAAATTGAGGCAAAGGATAATGGGTATCCCCAAATTTAAAGACCCCATGAAATGAATGGACACTGCTCTGATGAAGAACTACAAATGGCCAATAAAAACGTGAGAAAATGTTCAACATCACTGGCCGTTCCATTTGAGAAATGAAAACTAAACCAACATTGAAATTCTATCCCACTCTAGACAGCATGGCTGTTATCAAGAAATCAAACAATAACAAATGCTGGAGAGGCTACAAGGAAAAAGGACACTTCTCCATTGTTGGTGGGAGTGCAAACTGGTACAATCACTGTGGCAATCAGTTTGGAGAATCCTCAAAAATCAAAAGATAGAAATTCCACTTGACCTAGCTATTCCTCTTCTTGGTGTCTTCCTAAAAGAGTTAAAGACATCATATTACAATGATACATGCCTGCCCATTTATAGAAGCACAATTCGTAGTAGCTAAATCTTGAAAGCAGCCTAAATGTCCATCAACAGATGAATTGATAAAGAAAATGTGCTATTTATACACAATGGAGCATTATTCTGCCATAAAGATAACTTTGAGTCATTTGTAGGAAAATGGATGAACCTTAAGACTAAAATGTTGAGTGAAGTAAATCCGACATAAAGCTTAGATATGGCATAGTTTCTTTTATATGAGAAGCCCAAATTATAAACAAAGAGCAGAATGAAAGACATACAACAGGAAGTAGGAAAATAGATCTTTCTCAAGTTGGAAGGGAGAAGAGATGGAGGGAAGGGGAAGCAAGGGGAAGGGACAGGGATGAAAAAAGAATAAAAATGTGTCATGTACATGTACCAATCCCCATGAGAAATACAATCATTATACACTGCAAACATGTAAGAATAAAAAATAAAAATTGAAAAAGGAAAGAAAATAGAAGCTATATGAAGAAGAGATATGTATGTATGTTTATTGTAGGAATAAATATGTTGATGGAAAAAGAAGAAATATTACACATAGCTTTGAGATTTTTCTCTATATAAATGAATTCAAGGAAGTCATGCAGTGGTCCAAGAAGAAATGATCAGACATAAAAAGAGCTGATAATATACAAAATACAGAAATGAAAATGAGGACAATGTTAGAAATAAAAGTCATTTATAGACAAGAAAAACTGATAAACATAATGGAGAACAAAAAGCCTTGATGAATAAACATGAAGAAATGATATAAAATAGAAAAGAAAAAATTGAGGATCACATTGAGGACAACTCCTCAGACTCTTTAATGAAATTGAAAGGGAAATAATACTCCCAAAGTCATTCCTGGAAGCAAGTATTACCCTGACACCAAAACCACAGGAAGATCCAATCAAAAAAACAGAACTACAGGCCAGTCTCCCTAATGAACCCAGATGCAAAAATCCTCAAGAAGGTACTAGCAAATAGAATGCAGCAAATCATCAAGAAGATCATACACCCTGATCAAGTAGGATTCATCCCAGGGATGCAGGGATGGTTCAACACATATAAATCAATAAACATAATACAATTCATCAACAGAGCCAAAGACAAAAATCACATGATCATCTCAACAGACACACAAAAAATTGACAAAGTCCAACACCCACTCATGATAAAAACCCTACAGAAAACTGGAATAGATGGTCTTTATCTCAATCTGATGAAAGCCATCTATGACAAACCAACAGCCAACATCACACTAAATGAAAAAAAATTGAAAGCTTTCACTCTAAAATTAGAAATAAGACAAGGATGTCCACTGTCACCACTCCTATTCAGTATAGCTCTAGGAACATTAGCCACAGCAATTAAACAAGAGAAGGGAATAAAAGGAATAAAGATAGGAAAAGAAGAAGTTAGACTATCATTATTTGCCTTTGGCATGATACTCTACATAGGAGATCCCAAAACCTCCACTAAAAGATTTTTAATAACCAAATTTATTTCATGTAGCTGGATACAAAGTCAACACTCAAAAATCAATAGCATTCCTGTACACA